TATAAATACGGGCCTTAGTTATACGATGTCATTTAAAACAAGAAGATGTCAGCATTAAGGATCCGTAGAATAAGTAGCAGTAAGAAGTATTGTAAAACTTGTCTGAAATAAATATGTTCAAAAGCAAGTAGTTGAACCAGTCTTAGTCGGAAAGCACGGGAGATCGCCCACTGCCTCATCGCCTTTGATAATGTCCACCGCAGTTTTGGACGAAACGTCAGGAAGAAATTCCCATGGACCACGGCTTCAAAGCTCGGAAAATATTTCTAAATGTGAAAAAAAAGAATCTCAGGCTATTTGCTATTTTAATAAGTTTAATTATTTAGTAATTCAAAATTGTTGACCGGTACTTTTTTATTGCCACTTAAGACCCAGAATATATTCATCCAGAAAAATTGAACATATTTTCATGTAGTGTAATTTACATATTCTAACGAGAGTACAACAACAATATCTACAATAGGTAAGCTGCATAAACTGTAAATATTTAAATATTTTGATTGGACTTATAAAATTTTACTGATAGAAAACAAACTCAATTATTAATAATGCACAAAATTAGTGTCTAGGTAATTAGAAGTATTGGTCTTTTTGCATGCATGTGGAATTTTTTGCAATACCAAGACCAGTCTCGCTTATCACTATACATAATACTGCGAAACTGCAGCATTGTTTACTGTACAGTTTGATTTGGATTCAAACTTTGCTATTCGTTCACTATTTCATTTAAGCGAGTGGAAAGTAAGGCATATTTTCCGAAATTTTCGGGATTTTAAATTCATTATGCAGTGAAAAGACATGTACTTAATATTGTTGGACATTTTTTAACAAACTTGATTTCTCTTAACTAAATTATTATCAATATCTCTTTTATTAAAATAAAAAGGGAGACTTGGAAAGCCAACTAAAATTAAAGTTAAGGGATAACAAAGTTTTAAAATTTTTGTAAAATCTGAAACTATAGGAAAAACTCAGTTCGCACCACCAATTTCGGACGAAATGGATAAAATTTCCATAAAGACAACTATTATAAAGGTAGGCAAATTAATTATCATTAGTAGTAGTGTTAGAATAGCAGTCTTATCAAACATACATATTTATCAAACCGACATATTTATCAAACAATACTAAGGGTTTTTTCGGTCGGCCAAAATTGAAAATAGCATTTCTAAAATGTTACCTGCATTCTGCATTACGTTGCATTAACTTGATTTTGCAGATTATACCCGAACATTGAATAGTTCTTTTAGAATCCATATTGCACAATTCTTAATACGTTTGCAACCTGCGGTTGAATATTGGTGCAACAACTCTTGGTGCTCAATAATATCTGGTAATGTTTTGCATCTGGGATTAAAATACTATTAAATTATTATGCTTATGAACTAACAGATGTTAAGTGATGCAATTTTCTAAATAATAAATTTGCATTTCGCAAGAATAAAGCATTCACATTGTAGAATACGAAGGCATTGTTTTATATTAGATACTGAAAGGTGCTTATCTTAACACGGCCAATAAAGGATGGGCTCTGAAAACCCTTTCACATAACTGATACTAAAACCAAGTAGCTATAAATTAGTCGCGGTACTACTTCAGATCTTCGACCAACAAACTGCGGCAGCAGGTGAATGTCACGGGGCCAAGAACTCACCCAAGAATCTTGGGATCCCAGGCATGTACTGGGTTAAATTGGAACAATAATCAAATGAAGACCGGTAACATATATTTATCAGTATTTGATGCTAAGTCGTCTTTGTTTTATGAGTAATCTTTTAATTCTCTTAAATGTATGAAATTTACAACCGGTTTGTTAACGATTCAAAGATTTTCTAGCATATACATAGTTATAAAAATTACTATTAGAAAATCTTTACACATCGTATTTTCTGATGTTCAAATTGCGCGCATTCTTTAATGGTTTTTTAATATTTGGTAGTTCGTGGCGGTGATGCTATTTAGTGAAAGATGCCTATTGAGATTATTGGTCAATAGATAGCGGCAGAAAGAATATTTTATTTTGCTTTGGCTCACGTTTTGCCAATATTTATGCCATACTCAAGGTTCATGAATTTAGTGCTTTCTGTCGGGAACAGGGCTAACATCATGTCACCAGAAGTGGATTATAATTATACTGAATGTATTTATGTTTATGTTAAAAGAATACAAATGACGTGGAAATGTTTTACAATGCACTAAAATAAATTAATAATTTGAAGGTTTAAGCAAAAATCAAGTAGATTAGAGTAAATTACAAAATAAGTAAGTTATATAAAAAGTACTCATCATGAGCCGACACTAACTGTCGGCATGCAACAGAAAGGGCTATTTCACTGGGTCATTCACTGTAATCTAATATAACTACAGGTAATGAATAATTTAGCAGTGAAACATGATAATTTATCATATATTCTTATAGTTCTTATAAAAAATGCTCAATTTTGGTAGCTGCTCAACGAAATTGAAATCAGATTGCAGCAGAATTAAGACAATATTAAGGTATTAAAAACGTGGTCAGAACCTTTTCAGTGATCAGAATCACCAAGTGATGATACTTCTAAAGTTTTGATTGAGATTCAATGAATAAAAAATGTGAAAGGAAAGTGGAGCCTGTGTTTCAGTCAAATTTGAGGTACTAAAGAGGTGCAGTTTTATTTAAAACAGCATTAGGTTGACTATTATCTCGTACCTACTTGGCGGCAGGGTATAAAGTTATAAAGGTAAATTATAACTTTCCATTGTCTCGGAATTCTCGACCTCTCATGTGAGTTTGTCAACATTGCGTTCTACAACGTGTATTTTTATAACAATATTTTATTATTATAAAATAATGAATTTTATTCGACTAAAGACCGTTTCATAAGCTTCACAGCTAATTCCTTATTGCAACAATTCATTTTGCAGTGATTCGATAGCGGACCGAAATCTTTGTCTGCTCGACCAAAACCAATGCATGCATTCGATTAAAAGTAAATTTCAAAATGTTCCACATTTACAAATGAAAGTGAAATGGATTCGTTTACCTAATCGACTGATCCAACGAGTTTTATTTAGGCAATGAAATGACAGTTTAGTTTGCAAATTATCCCTTGCAATTTGGCTAAGATGAACGTTGACGTACACCTCTACCTCTAACTTACAATTAAACTTGCAATCCAGTTTCGGAAACGAAGCCGGTTAAATTTGGAAACAAGAAAGTGACTTTCAGTCACAACAGTTAGAAATTTGGGAACTCTTCCATATATTTTTTATGCAAATATTTTTAAACAAATTTTACAAAACTTTTCAAAATTTGCCTTCGTCTCATTATGATTCCAGCAACAAAATCAGTGGTATTTCGCTTTACTATAACCAAGTACAGTCACTTCTGCTTCTATGATTGTATCTTCAGGACGCTAAACGGTTGACCTTTGCCTGTAAAAAAAACACTTTAAAGTGCAGACCAAAATATAAACTTTAATGTGACTTTTCATCTAATAAAGCTCCTTAATGAAAATTTCGAAATTACTAATTTTTGTAAAAACGCGACATGTCAATGAATTTAAAAAGCAGCTAGAACTTCCGAAAATAAAATAATATTAACAGGTCCGCATTTTAGGAAATCAAGTGATCTATCATCTGGAAGACAGAGAGTGTAATTTTAAATATATCAATGTTATTTTTTTGCAGATAGAAACATATCAAATTTACGTATAACAGCTTTAATCATGTTTGTTTTATATAGATAAATGTGTAGGTGATATTTTTTTTGGATTTTACGATCACCTACCTTTATAATTAAGAAAAATAAAAACTTTGATGGGCAAAAGTAGGACATTCTATTTTCATTGCCCCTCTACTGACTTACTGTTTCTGCGATCTCAATAATTCACTCTCCTTTATGTTTAATTCATACAGAACAAATTAGAAACTGCGGAAATCTTATGGAACACATTGGAACAGAAGTTGTCATAATGTAACTTCTTCGGAGTTGAGGAGAGACTTTTAGTGGATCCAATCCAGTTTCCCAATATGAATGAAACGTACCCAACGATAGTGTATTTGTCTTAATTATGTGTAGTTTTAAAAATAATTTAGGGCGGCAAATTTGCCATTTATGTATTAATAGTATTTATTACCTGGCTAATTTCTAATTAATCGAAAATTTCAAGGCTCAAGTGCTATAAATGTCTTTTCTTTATTTTATAGACTTCTTGACATCGGAGGGTTTCACTACCGACCACTTTTATCGGCCAATAAAATTTGTAAAATATTGGTGAAAAATTCGTTCAGTACGTTCCTGGTTCCCACATAACTATGATCGTCGCTTAAAATCCTGGGATCCAAGCACTAAACAACTCTTAATTACCCATTACACAAACGAACCGACTCCTTTGATATAAAGCGATGTGACCGGGTCCCTATATACGGGCGTTACCGACTTTTCGTAAAAATATATTCGATTTATTAATTTGAACATACTTTGAAAAGGCTCAGCACACAATTTATTTTCCAACTGTTAGTTGCAATTGGCGATCAAGATGAGCACTGTCTTAATACGGCTGCATGTAGTAGACATTCAGTCTTTAGTTGTCTATGAAATTTGAAAAATTATTGTCAATCGACATAAACACAACACAAGGGAGGGTCATGACACCCATGATGACATGACGTTGGTATTGTTGGATAGAGAAGATCAGTAAATAGCCTTGCCTTGAAAAATTTACTCAAAAAAAGTAGAAAGTGAACTTCCCTAGGGTTAAACTATGGAGGGAAGGAGTAGATGCAATTTATTCATTTAGTATATATTTTTCATTCATTTTTATGCAGAGTGGGAAACATGTCAATTCAAGAATACTCAAGAAGTTGTATTGGGTTACATAACTCCATAACTTTTCGCATTTGTGGGTGCCCCAAAAGCATCGATGATTTTCACTGCAGCATTATAAAAAGTTAAGAGTTTAAGTTCATCTATAAATGAGGCCCGATTAGTGCTTCTTACAACAAATACATTTTAGGAATTATGGAAATGAATAGTTATATTTCACATATACATACATCGAAATTTATAATAATAAATGGAATTTTAAGTAAAACATATATAGTTGTGGCATAAGTTTGAAACAATTATTGAAAAATGAAGCACACATCATGAGGTTATGAAGGGAATAAGACATCGGACAAATGACTGTCTCGGCTTTGCTGGCACAGACGTGCTCTTTTCATCAAATTCTCAAAGACTGTTCCGCATAAATTTTGCGGTATTTCAGAGATACAGCTTTGAATTTTATCTTTTAAGGCTTCAAACGTTGTTGGTTTGTTCACATAAACTTGTGACCTTAGAAAAGCCCAATAAAAAAGTCCAAAGGGGTTAAATCGCATGATCTGGACGGCCAATGCCGATCTCCAAAACGAGAAATAACACGACCAGGAAATGACTCGTGCAGGAATTCAACAGTTCCTCTGGCTGTATGGCGTGTTGCACCGTCCTGTTGAAAGCACATGCTGTTGAGATCCATATTTTGCTGTTTTCGCACAAAAAAGTTAGTTAACGTTTTACAATAACGAACACCACTCACGGTTACTGCTTGACCAACTTCATTTTCGAAGATAAATGGTCCGATGAAGCCTCCAGCCCACAATGCACACCAAACAGTGACTCTTTCTGGATGCATCTGTTTCTGAACGATCACTCGTGGATTTTCGGAACCCCAAATGCGACAATTTTGTCGATTGACGAAGCGATCAAGATGAAAATGGACCTCGGCACTAATGATCATTTTCATTGAAAAATCACCGTCCATTTGTCGTCTGCGGGCATTAGTTCTTGAGCCAATTCAAATTTGTACGCATGAAGCTTCAAATCTTTTGTTAAAATTTAATGCATAGTGGTTGTGGAAACACTAATTTCCTGAGTTCTATGCCGAATTGATGTGGTTGGACTTTCCTCAACATTTGCATGTACTACTGCGATATTTTCAATCAAACGACCAAGACGAATGCGTGTTTCTGTTTTCACTTCATTACTATTATTGTACGTACTTTCCTGACTGTGTTTCAATTCCAAATTGTCAACTGTCAAATCAACGCTACACATTGAAACTGATGATGGTGGAAAACACCGAAACGTTTTTTTAATTGATAAATAGACAATAAATGACTGAAGAACCCAGGATTTGATTTTAATTACTATTATTTACCATGCGTATAACGACATGGTTCGATTTTTACAGTTGGCTTTATTCTGCCACTTACAATTGAGTATTTTTGCAAAGAAAATCTGCTTCGCCCACAAAATAATGCACATTACTTTAAAGTGTGTTGGTTAATACTGGTGTGCTCATATTCAAATCAATTGTAGACAATATTATGTTCTCAAAGGCTCAATTAATCATGACATGACCGTTTCATTGTGGAAACCTCATTTAACCATTATTCAGGAAACAGCCTTCAAGGTAATTAAAAATTCATCAAGTCATTAGTTTTAAAGAACCGAAAAAAGCTCCATGTCATAAAATCACCTGCCACTAAACAGTTCCAGATCAGCTCCCGGAACGTTAGCCATTTGTGTAAAGGTGACTAGTGTCAGGAATTTTAGGAATTGTTTTAACAAGGCCACCCAGAGAGCGGCTTCACTCTCTATCATCGGTCCCTTATCTTTATTGCTCGTACCGGGCCTCTTAAAACAATAAATTTAATATAGTAGGTACTCTTTGGAGTTTAATTTGGTGCCATTCGGGATGCCAGCTTTTATAGGGCACGGATCGACACGATTTTTAAATCAGTGGCTCTTTGGTGTGACCGCTTTAAATCGGCCTATCTACAATGTCTGCAACATTAAACTTGTCAAAATAAAAATAAACTGTCATAAATATCATATAATCTTTTCTCTTGCGTATATTTTTGAGGTGCATATTTTGCAATAATAAAATATATGTATTTTTTTTCCATAAAGCATGTTTCATATTTACAATTAAGATAAATTGTTACAAATCGATTTACATTTCAAACGCCCTTAAAACGACAAAAAGTGTGACACTCGAAGAATATTTTGAAAAAACTCTTTCAGTTGAAAGAGCCTCTAAAAAATTCAAGTTGTTATTGTTGTTTCATCATTCTGAGAGCAACGCCCTGATTTTTTACACTGGTCAAAACTGCACTAATTTTAACTTGAATTAACTGGCAAATTTTGCGAAATTCTGAGATGCTTCCAACAAGTAGTTTAAATCGGAAACCTTGATTTTTTGCGCCAACTCCATGTAGAAATAAAAAACCTCAGTTGTTAACGTCTTCTTCTTATCTCCCAGTCTCCTTACGAAGGTTGGCGCTCCAAATGGCCAGTGATGTTTTGGAAACAGCTGCTCGGAAAATCTGTGTAGATGCGCTGAAACCACCTGCGGATGGCCTTCAGTGATGAGTTTTGGCGTCTTCCGATGGATCTTTTTCCTTTAATCTTCCCTTCGATTATGAGTTTCAGGATTTCGTATCGGCTGTCCTCATAATAAGTCCAAGATACTGTGTTTTTCTTTCTTTTATCGTTTGTAGCAATTTCTTTCCTTTGTTCAGACGTCTTAGAACTTCTATATTGGTTATCTTCTCTGAGTCCGGCTCTCACTGCCATATAGGACAGAGAACAGATAACAACGGAGCATGCATGTCCTGAGCTGCAAGCTCAATTCCAATCTAGTAAAGAGCTTCTTCATACTAGCCAAAACCTTCCTAGCCTGTTCTATTTTGGATCTGATTTCGCTTTTAGGGTCACAGTCCTGATCTATCGAGGTGTCCAAGCATTTAAACGAGGAGACCTGCTTTACATATTTGCCTTTTATGGTCAAGACTCCGGCATGATGCTCTACCAACTAAGCTACGAAGCAGACAGATTCGTACCAGCCTTCGGACAGTAAATCTTTCTTGATTCCAAATACGGGGTGGTATTATATAAGTGTGCAATTTCATACAACTACTACAGAAACCGAAACCAGATCCCGCCAAAAGCAGTACATTTTTCTTATTCCAAAAAATTATTTGTCCTCTACGCCAAGAAAAATCCCTTTAAAATTAATAAATTATCGGACAACGTAAAAACTCTTCATTTTCATGGTCAAGGTTATATTTTTACATGTTTTGTAGAAGACTATGGTCTTGGTTTTGAATATGTTCATGAAAAAATCATATCGTTGGCTTTGTTTGACTATTTTATGGATCATTCTCTGTAATTCTCTTGGACTTGTCCATAAGTTCTCGTACGGTCATTTCCAATGTAAGACACATTAATCAAATTTGTTTTTAAAAAGTTGACTTCTGTTTCCATTTTTTCAGTTTGAATATCTATGGAAAACCATGCAATTTTGTTTAGATCTGAATTTTTGACAAAGTTTGGTTGTACATCAGATTCCGGATAAAAATAATTCCTAACTTAACATCTGATTATTTCAGTTTTTTCAATGGTTGATTTTCTTATTTGATTAAATGTGCACACAATAATCTAGAAAATTTAAGAAACCAACTTTCACCTTTCAGTTAAAACTTCAGCAAAAACTAATTGACAATCTGAAAATGGTATAAACACAGCAATTATGATTTTGGCTGTTTCTTTTCTAACATTGATAATATATTTCACACACATTTGCCTGCCTTAACTTCCGCAGCCCGTACACATAAGGAATATAAAGAATAATTTATTATAATTAAATGCATAAATATTTTTTGCATTAAAAACTGTCGTAAACCCACAGGCTCAAGTCATTTAAATATTATTACCACTATAAAATGTATAATTACTTTGCCAATATTACACACGAGATTATGCCCATCAGGCGAGTCAATACAATCCCGCTCATAAACTCAGCTAGTGCCCCATACCTGATGAAATACAAATTTTGTGATTACCATAAAATTGCCAACAGGAAAATTCACTTATTTTATAGATTAATTCTTAAATTATCTCAATTTGATAACCGGCGTAAGTTTCAAAAGTCGTTAACTATGTCAAAACATCAATGAGCAGAAATATATTTTATAGAGCCAACATGAGAATACAACCGAGATGCCACACAGGGAGAATCCAAACGATTGCATTTTAAGTGATTTTGAAATAAAACGGTCTTTTAACGGACCGTTTATAACAATTTCCTCGCTAATTTTGCGCATTTTAATCGACATTCTGATCATGGTATCTTCATTTCAGTGTGTGTTCAGCTCGAAATTCTCATTTAATTAAATACTGGCATTGGCTAGCAAATGGTTCTGGAAGGCGCCAGAATGTTATGATAAATCTTGATTTGTGCAATCGTGGCTGGACAGAACATATTTTCTTAAGTTGCTGCTAGGATAAGTGAATGTGCAGTAATTTAAGGTGACAAGCCCTGAATGAAATTATTCTGGGTCAAAATACGCATTAAATATAAATATCGTGGATCTATTTAAACAAAAAACGTTTTCTAGTAATTTCTTTGAAATTGTCTTTAGGTCAAAGTAGTAATATTAAATTAAAGTGTAGTTCTCTTTATAATAAAATTACTTATCAATTAGTTCGCGTTAGTTTATTACAAAGCTAAAACAAAAAACGTCTATTTAGCTATATGTGGGTCATTCAAATCAATACCACCTAGAATCGTAAGAACTTTGAACGGCAGAGCCTGTCAGCTCAAATTAAAGAGCATTGTGTTATCTATTCAGGAATACTAAACACACTAAAATCGCACCAGCTTATTTTTGAGCAAAACAATTTGAGCACTGGATTGTTGATGATGGTCATGGCTGAATTTTTTTAGATTTTGGTCCCGATTTCCTGCTCCGAATTTCGAACAAACGTGTTTTTTCTGATATTTCAGCTTCAGCTCTCGTTTGAAAGTTTGTAGTTTGGTTTTTATTTATGGTTTATGGACTTGAGAAGTTTCAAGCGGCATGGGTTTTTAAGAGGTGGAAGTTTGGATCCGTCGAAGAGTCATATCAAATATGAACAAAGTACAAATACTTTCGCAAAAGAAGACTCTAAAAGTACTACTTTCAGATTTTTTAAGCGTGAATAGCATCATGTCTGGAACCCCGTTTGGATTCAAAGAGGAGATGATTGAGAAAAAAATTGTGGCTCTACAGAAAATATCCAGCTGAAAACACTCAAAGTTTCATAAAAATCCGACAGCATTTAAATCAGCATGAAAAAGTCTATTCCGCTCCATGATTGGAGGTGTGTCTTCACGGCGACGATCCAAACTTGTTTGAAGCAGATACATGCGTTTGAAAATATTTGTGTGCAAACCGGGACTTTCTACAAAACAGTTAACATTAAAAAAACGTAAATCGAACTGCAAATGATTTTTACAAAGGGACGATCATGCAAACAATTTCAATTTCAATTGTAACGGAAATGGCCTGGGGTACTCACGTTTGGAATGGGGGATCGAAATTCATGGTATTTCAGTAAATGGGAGCCCCATTTGGGCCCCATTTACTGTCAAATATGACACTGACAAGCGGGAAGTTTCGCACCTGTTCTGGAGATTTCGAGAACTATCTGGGATACCTGGACGAAACTATATAAGCGACGACAAGAACCACACAGGAGGAGTGAAGTGACAGCCGCGCCTGAGTGCAGAAGAGGTTAAACCCCGCGAGTCGGAAACGCGTGTTTTCCGTTTGTTATTGTTATTGTTTGTGAAGTTGACGTTAATTTAGAAGTTAGTTTGTTCCTGTTCCGTAGTTAAAGTTGTAGCGAGTGGA